GATGTAGGTGCAATTTGCTTAACGGGGAGCTAGCTAGCTTTGTCCTTCATTATTCACCAACCACACATGCAGAGTTTTTCACCATGACTTGATGTTTTCATAAAAATACTAATGTCCGATGAGAATCCACTGAAGTTAAATGAGTTGTAATGTTCAAACTTTATAAATGCTCGTGGTAAAAAAATATCTGAAGTTTTCCAATTGATAAGCATTATAACAATTACAGTTATAGCTTCCGAAGTTTATAGCACACTGACTATTGCAAACTAATAATAGAAACTCCTTTTCTGGCAAGTCATGCTGGTTATATTTATGGAGAGTTTCTAGAAAATTCAGATTATGTAACAATACAAAGCTACATTAAGAGTTTACGTACACACATATATCGTTGATTCTTACACCTGAGAATCTTCTACAACTTTAGAGAATAGACAGGAGTTTCACAATACATATTTAATACTATAAGCTATGCATATTTCTAAATATAAACTTAATCTAAACAAACGTCAATATTAAAATAAATATATAATAATAAATCTGTCACATGTTATAAGTGTTGCTGATATGTGTGTGTATATATATTGTAAGACTTTTACATATTCCGTACTGGATTTATTTTGCCCTGAAGGCAATAAAGATAAAAAAAAAATTAAGTACTATAAGAACTATCTTGAATTTTGTTTTGGATATGCTAATTTTTCTTTACCAACATACAGTTGCCAGGAGGAATATGAAGGAAACCGATGTTCCTTCAAGATCTTAAAACCTCCAACACAGCCACCATCCCACCGTTCATTATCCGACAGTAAGGAAATAGCCTAGTATTATTTTTGTGTTGTGTCCTTTTTCTTGTTGTTTATTTAATTTACATATTAACTGGCTGTACATTTTGTGTCAGAATTTATTAAAAATAAAGAGACATGAGAATTAAACTTTTCTTGCTGCAGGTAGTCATGAGAAACCTTATACTTGACTATTAAGTTATTTTAATATGAATAAAAACTTTAAAGAAGTATTTAGATAAAAATGTGCATTGAAATTGACATGTTTTTCAATATATTCCACAAACACTTCATTTGAAAATTTCCATTTTGCAGCAGCCTTTAATACTGAAAAAATAAAATGTTAAAAGAAAGTGATATTAATATCTCTTGCACTGAAAAAAAAAAAGAGAGACTTTTTGTTATCAATAATTATTTTTGTAAGTATGTGCGTGTGTGTTAGTTAAGAACCTAACCTTGTAATTATGAATGTATTTTGGAAATTGTAAAATAATCAATGCACGTTAAAGCAATAACAGAGTTATGTTCTTGTAGCAGTTTGAATTTAATCTGTAACTAATCAGAGAACTCAATTTCAAGATTTTCAATCTGATGCAAGTATGAAATCACTGAGAAAAATTTATATTTTTAGTTTCACCTATGATCCTGACACAAATTATTTTGTATTTTAGGCAAAGCATGGATAGTTGGAATTGTGATTGGACTTTTGTTAGTAGGAGCCATTGTTGCACTTACTATCCACCAGTACGTGCAGAAAAAGAAAGAGTAAGTTGTTTGCAAAGTACCAGTGTTGATAGTTGATACAACTGATTTCAGAACTAAAAAACATTAATTTTTTCCCTATGTGGACAAGAGTGTACACAGAGATATAGCTTAAAAGTGTATAATGTTCAGTTTGGTATTTTGTCAGAATAAAAAAGCCAAATGTTTTATTCCTGCAAGCTGTGTAATTAATATAATATTTTAAAACTAGAAGTAAAATTATAAGTTGTATTACATGTTTATCATTTCGTTTTAATGTCATATTTTAATTGGATGACTTAAAAAAGATTAATATATGGGTAAATTTATAAACATTTTAATAAATAGACAAAAATTTATATTTTTTATACAGTGCTGAAAGTTCTTTATAATATTTTTAATCCAGTATTGTAACAAATAGGTCTTAAGGAATGTTATTTTTATAATTCTTAATTTAACCTTTCATATAAATGTGGACACTTTAATTTGGAAAACCATATCTGTAAGGCAGAGATTTGTAGATTCAAATCAAACTCACATAGTGATTTAATTGACATCATGAACAATTTGTTTTATATAGAGAAAGGAAGAATAACCCTCATTCCATTGACAATCCAGTGTATGGGCTGCCATTAGATAATGTCAAAGTAAGTATTAAAATAATATGCTTATCTTTATAACTTATAAAATGAGAGAAAATCTATCAACTACCTTTTCACTTCTTAAGAAAACATCCTGTAGTGATAAGTTTTGTAAAATTAAGTTACAATCTTTGCTTGATATTTTGCAGTAACAAGTATTGTGTTTTATAGTTTACTGTAGGAGATTCCGTTACCTCTTTACCTGGCCAGCAAACTGCTTCGGGAAGTACTGCACCAGTAAGTTTGAAAACTATAAAAGTTTATTTTAAAGTTTTTCCTTTTCTGATTGGCTAGAAACACATGCGACATTCATGTTCACGGAGTTTCCATAATGCTCATATCATCTTGTTCACATTCCTCAAGTCATTCTTTAAACCCAAAGACAGCATATCTCATTTTTAATCTATGTATTGATTTGCACTCAAGAAGTATGTATTATAATATTCATATTCTTGATTGGAAAAAAAATAATAATAAGTAAAGCCCAATTAAAAACATTTTGTTGCATACTGGCTGTTAACCTTAATCATTCCTATTTATATAATTTGGAACTGAAATTGGTTTTTTTCAAGTTATTTTTCCATCATTTTTAATTACAACTAAATTCCAGCAAGTGATTTATTAGGCTTTATATGTTTCTGAAGTTATTTATTAACCTATTTTGTAATACCAGTTGAAAAGTTTGTAACATTTCTTTATCTTTCTTAAAAGCTAGTATTCTATTTCTTTCAGGGTCAGGATCTCCCAACAGAGATACAAAATCCACTGTATGATAATTAGCATTAAAAAAGAAATTGATTTGTACAAAAACACAGATCATATAAAAATATTTCAAATTATTAAATTCGTCGGCAAGTGAAATGTATTTGTGTGTTACTTGTAGTAATAAAACAATAACAAACATAATATGTTGTTCATTATTCTTTAAACAACAAACAGGCAGTCATCTTATATCCCCAATGTTAGTTAAGAGGAGAACTAAACTCTCAACATGTACCAGTATTCTTTAGGTTTGTTACCCGATTACCAATAAATTCATGATCAGCGAAAGCACTTGTCATTTTTGCATAACCCATCAAGTTTTAATTAATTCTTTATATATGACACACAATACTATCAACCCACTTTAAGGTATTATTATTATTTTGATAATGCTCATGTATTTCCAAAATTTGGCAAGCTTTTAGTAAAATATTGTCTTTTGTACACAAAAATCGGATTTTTCAATAAAATAATTTTACTAAATATTTGTTAGTTGAATATAAAGAGACAAAGTTCAAGGCAATTTTTATGTTAAGGTTAATTTTTTTTTCAAGTTGTATTTGCATAACCTCCTAAATGAAAAAATATCAAAAGTTTGTTTTATCTCTATATAGAGATTGACTGACAAAAAAAAACAAATAAATTTAAATTACTTTTTTTAACCCTACTAAACTGTAACAGACAATTACACAGTACTTAATTTTACAGCCTAAACTAATAGATTTTTTCATTAGTTGTATTTTATTTACAGTTGAACTTTGACCCTTTCAGACTAAAGCAATAGATATTTGTTATGCTACACAGCTTTGTATAAACTAAAGATAATGTTGAATTACATAAATATGCTCGAGCTTGGTGTGTGTTATCATTGATAGAGAGTATTTTGTTTATTTCATTTAAGCTTAGTTATCCTAAGGTTCTAATTTATACATTTTAGTTAATCTCATAACAATTAGAAATTTAGTTCTTACTTCTGATATCTTGTCTTCAAGAATTTGCACTTTTATAATCAAAGACAACATTGAAATTTAACCCTAATTCAAGGTAACAATAATGAGGTCTCAGAAATTATTTTTTTAGAGTTCAATTATTTAATTTAGAATACAAAATATTTTCATGCAAATAAAATAGATGTCTTAAAACTTATATAAATTATAACTTAATTCCCATACCTAATCAAACACAGCTCCAACAGCAGCATAGAAAAAAAAAAAAGAAAAGATGTCAACATGTTCAAATCTTCTTAGACCAAGGTCTTTAGACCCTGTAGATGTCAGTTAAGTGAACTCATTGCTATCAAACAATACAATAGCAAATGTAAAAAATAACTTGGAGGCATGACATGAGAGACTTACTTTATTGCTTATATATATATTCATAAATTAATAAACTTTCTTGCTACAAATTGACAGTTTAGCTCAGGAATAAGTAGAGTATAAGTGAGAAATTCCATTGAAAGTTACATGACCAAATAGGGATAGCAGGAAATGTAGAAATGGACAGTTAGCCTTTTACGTATTGAACAATAAACTATGTTTTAATGCCAAGTTTATTGATAATAAAGTAGTTTAATTAAATTTTGAATGTAACTCTGTAAAAGGTGACATGCACTCTTTGACCTACTCATGGTGATAGGGTTAATTCAACTGATTACTCATCATTTCCTTCCTATTGTTAATTTGTTTCATTACTGGATGCTGAACAAATTCTTACTCATTTAACATTTTATACCTGTAATTTATGTTTCAAGTTTGTTTTAAAGAATGAAATAAAAATACCTGGATCTACATAAACTATCTTGCAAGTCTAGGGTTCTGATTATCAAAGTTGTTAGAACAAAATACCATTCAATAACTTTTTTTATCAGTAGTTTTCTGATTACAATAGTTAACTTGATGTAGTAAATAAAATCAATGATAAAAACGAATTAAATTAAAGCCAACTACTACACATTCTTGGCATATATGCACAGAGTTTGGCATGACCTAGTGGATAGTGTGCTAAGCTGTGGGTGCATTATAAAAGTTACATTCAATCTTGCTATTTGGTTATAGAAATAGCCTTGTAGGCAGCAAGTGGTATACTAGGTGCCCTTCTTCTGGTAAGAAGTGCTAAATTAAAAACAGCTACACGACCCTTTGGACCATATGTTGCACGAAGTGGTGTTCGTCTTATTCCTAGTCTTTGTAAAATGCAGATCAATCAATAGGTTTTCACAGTATTTTAAAGCAAGTATTATCATTTGTGATATAATATTTTGCAAGATTTGTTTTTTTTATACCTGATTATTTTGCTGGTGCATCTGGAAACCTTAAGGAACAAGTATAAATTGTTTTTGATTACTATAATGTGCTCCTTAGTTCATTTCCTAGCCAAAATGGTGATGCATTGTTAAGAAGTCTCCACAGTATTCCATGTTCATCGAAGAGGTACAAAGAAAATAAATGAAAAATCAAGACAAAATTATTCCAAAGTCCTTAGTGAAAAACCTAAAACTCTTTGAAATTTCTTTTGGAATAATGGCTTTTCTAGTTGGTAACTAACTTTTGATTACACACAAAGTCAGGAAATTATAGATACTTTTTTAACAATTTCAGAATGTGTGGAACTTTGCTGATTATGTATTGATTCAAATATATATATATATATATATATATATTTCTTAAGTAACAGATAAGATTTCAGTATCCCAGAATCTTTCATTGAAATTTCATTCTTTTGGAATACTTATGAAAAATTTTACATTTGAAAGAATTTTATTTAGTAAAAGAATGATCTCATTTTACTCTTATTACTTATAACCTTAATGAAAAAAATCATATAAGAAAAAACTATACACAAATCTGTCATCTTATAAGAATACATAAGCTATTATTTTAAAACCATTCAAATACACACGTATTACCAAAATGATGACATGACTCCCTGAAAATCTAAGTTGTTTGTTAATGGCTCTCCACTTGGTTGGTATCTGTATTGATTATATAATTCTTCAATATCCATATTTTTACCACTTGAAGCTTTTGAAGAAATCTTAATTTTTTTGTGAGGCTGGAGACATTTTGTATTAGTTTCAACATCCGAAACAGATGGAACTTTTTTTTTCAGCATGATTGGCTCCATTAAAGATCCAGCAGCAGTCAGTTCACAAAATGAACACTCTTGCCTAACTGGCTTCTTTACTGGATATAGAAAAACTGAAAAAATAAAAGATATGAAATTGGTAGATAAATGTTAAATATTAAAGTAGAGTAGTTAAAAATTTACCTGGTTTAATAATTTTTCACTTATTTACTGGTTGAAAAACAGGATCTTTGAAATTTAACTTTACAATTATAGCTGAAGTAGCTCTACGGTTTAAACTTGATGACTTTAACCTACATTCAACAGCCTTATAAGCCAAATAACTGTAGTCAACAGGATGCAATGATTTTTATTTCACTATTAAATAACTTAGCATTCACTATGATAGGAAATACTTGTTCTAAGAATGAAATTATCTTTCTTTCAAATTTTGTATAATTCTAAGAAAAAAAATCTGTCAGATGGCATTCAATTTTATTGCACTGGACAGTACAAAAATAGATAATATTGAAAACAATTTTTTTTTTTAGTTTTGTGGAAAAATGAATTAAAAAATAATGATTAAGGACCATACTTTAACTTTTTCACTGCCATAAGTACACACATGGGACACACCACTATATAATTTTTGTGATATTAACTACACGTCAGTTTGGAACTTTGTACCACCATGTAGAAAGATATTCCCAAACTTCTCAAAGTTTAGCAGATTCAATTTTGAAATAATTAGTGAAACATTTTTAACAGTCTTTGTTGTTGTTTTTTATTATGAATAAAAATAAATAAACCTGGCACTGGGAGAGTTGTTTATCAAAACATGGAAGTGATTTACTTAAAAAACTGTTAATTTAATAATCAATCCACATGAAAAACTGAATAATTTAGAATAAAAAAGTAGTTGGGTTGGGAAGCTGTACTATCTACGCATGTTGTAGTTAAAAACTTATAACCATATGTCTTTTACTGTGTATCTAAAAATAAACCTGGTACTGGGAGAGTTGTTTATCAAAACATGGAAGTGATTTACTTAAAAAACTGTTAATTTAATAATCAATCCACATGAAAAACTGAATAATTTAGAACAAAAAAGTAGTTGGGTTGGGAAGCAGTACTATCTATGCATGTTGTAGTTAAAAACTTATAACCATATGTCTTTTACTGTGTATCTGAAAATAAATGTGGCATTGAGAGAGTAGTTTATCTGTGAAAATGGTAATGAAAGAATAAAAATTATGTACACACTGTATCAAGTATAATAACCAATCTGCATGAAAAATGTACTAAAACTGAATAAAGAATAAAAAAACAGTTGAAAGTAGCAATACCTATAATTATTATAATATTGTATAAAAATGTATGATTTTGTAAAAGCTAATGCTTCTATGGCTTGTTGGTACCTTGTTCATCAGTAATGTTTCTAACAAGAAAAAATATACAAAGCATCATCTACCTTATGCTTTAACTGATTCCTTCAGATTTCACTGATTCAGAAAATTTAGGAACCCATTTTGTTAGTGACTCACTCAGAATGAAACAATATGTTGACTTTCTTTTACTCCAATGGTTGTTGATGACTATCAATGTTGTTTTTTGTACTGACTGAACTTTACTTTTAAAATGTTCAACATCTTCAATGAAACAAACCTATTGTTACTAGTTAAGAACACAATGAACTATCTATGTTATATATCATTACTTTTAGTTTTCCTTACGCGTTAGATTGCCAAGAATCTATATAGTACTTACAGGTAATATTTTTTTAAATATCAATTAACTTAAGCATTACTTTGAATATAATTTTAATATTGTTGTTTCAGAAAGTTTACACTGATCTGTAGAACTCTGCAAAACAAAAGTTATCACAAAGTTATCTTTTAAGAAATGGTGTTTATAAAGAGACACACCTACTGGAAATAAGGGTGATCACACCTTATATATAAGAATGAACCACTACAGATAAAAATATCCTTGATCTACGGGTCACAACATGAAGGTATAAGCCAACAGAGGAAATGACTGGTTTAAGAAAAGCCTGGAATTTAAAATGCAACTACAAATCTACAACAAAAACAAAAAAAATAAGAAGAGTTCACTGTGTTTCTCCTCACATATCTATACGTCAAAAATATGGTTTTGTAAGTCTTGTGGTATTGTGTAAGCTTAGATAAATTTGGTAGAACATTTATTTTCATTCCTCAGCAATACATGTGATTATTTTCAATGCATAATAGAGTAGGTATCCAAAATACCTTTTTATGCCAAACTTTCTGTCTATCCCTTTGCAATTTATTAGTAATTCTGTATCAAAAATTTAGGATTTCAAAATTTTCTTTTTAGTTGCATAATGTGTACACAGTTCCTTTCTAAAGAATAACAAGTTTCTAGATACAGTAAAATGACATTTATAATCTTATCAATGATTATCCAAAATCAACTTTTATAGAAAGCATTAAATCAGCATGTTTCGGATCAGAACTTACACAGTCCACTTCTTTTTGCACGTGAAGTTTTCTTCTTTATATAATTAGCTTCTGTATCAAGATGCCACTGTTTAACAACTTTTTCTGCCCAACCTTTTGTCTCTATAGAACTTTCTTCTTTTGTTGAAGACTCTTGTAGCTCTAGCTTCTGTTTAACTTGGTAAATACCTAATGGCTGTTGAAAAGAAATGAAATTTATATTCTGTTATAAAGATTACAGTCCACTTTATTAGCAATTTAAAAACATAATGAACAAAGATAATAAGAGAAGTTTTGCCATCTGAACAACAACACTGAAAAACTATAAATAAATAAAGTGTTAAATTAAGACAGAATAACTTAGATCAAAATCACAATCAGTATGTTTATGATACAATACAAGGTCCTGTCTGCTAGTTCTCAAAAAAAAAAATAAATAAATATATATATATATATATATATATACAAGTTTCCCATGCCTATAATAGTAACATTTTGATTTGCATGCAAAACCTAAAAAACACGACAGGCTTTGAAAATGTTATGTTTCTTTCTGAATCAGAACACAAGTAAAAGAAAACAAAACAAAAACTATGCTCAAATTTAGTAGATGGAGAACAAAAGTTTGAAATGTTTTGTTGTCACACACTGAACACACTACTTATAACTGTACAAGTTTTTTTCATAGTTAATGTTGATAATGATAAGACTAGGAAACAAAAGTGTAAATTTTGGCAGGGAAGAAGTCATCTTTAGCTAATATAGCTTTATTTTTCTAACAGGGTGGTTGGCCTCTAGAACAGGTTACCTTTGGATGTGATGGATGCAGTTAAGTGGGTTTAAGGGAAAGCTTATTAACAAATATTTGAACAACAAGGTCTGGCTTTGAGGGTTTTCTTAAAGGTTTAGTTTAGTGTATAGGACAGCCTGGATAGGGAAAAGGTTCCTTGCTCTCCTTTAATGTTATATTATGTATGATAGCTCCATGAGCTCTAACTTCACTACATGTGATAGCTCTATGTGCTCCTAATTTTACTATTTTTTCATACTGGTAGTGCTCTGAATCATGTTTTCAGTTGTTTGTTGTAGAGGTATGAAAATAATGAATGAAAAAATAATTAACTATGCAAAATGACTCCCATTAGTTGATTATTTTTAAATAAAATTGCAATTTTACAATTAATGTAAATCTTGTTGCTGGAAGAAAGAGCTTTGAGACAACAATAAAATTAATCCATATTCTCTTGTGAACACCTATTCATACGTAACAAATAACAAAATTAATTTAACATTAAAAGACAACAAGGGACCATTTGGTCCATCTAAACCATCCCATCCACTAAATCAAACTAAACACTAAAAACTTCAAAGCTAGCCCTTATCATTAAAATATTTCCAGAGTTTTCCTTTAAATTATCTACATCTATCACATCTGAAGTCAAACTGTTCCAAAGGCCAACCACCCTGTTAGAAAAATAAAACTGTCTTGGCTGAAGATGATTCTTACCTTGCCCAAATTTATACGAGTCTCCTAGTGTTACCGTTCTCACCTTCAAGTACAAAACAAGATGACAAATCAAGGCTATCAATTCCTTAACAGTCTTAAACACCTCTATCTCTTCTTTGCTCAAGAGAAACAAAGTTCAGAGATCTTAATCTATCCTCGTATGAAAACCTTTCCATCCCAGTAGCCCTCCTCTGGTTCAACATGTTTTATATTTTGTAACTATCTTTATGCCTGGTATGACCAATATTAATTACAACACACTAACTTCTTAGTAATAACTCTAATAATCAAGATATGGACAATCAAAATTGAATTTTTTTTAAACCTTTCAAACAACATTTAACAGTAAATTCCAACATAAGTTTACTGAAAAATACATCAAACTTTTTTTTTACAAGGGGTCTGTGTCACATGATTCCAATGTTTAAACTTAGTTTTAACCATTTAACTTCTGTTCAAGATTCAATGCCATGTAATCACACACTGCTAAGGTATTTGAGTAACATATTGATTATATAGCTATTTGATAATGCTCTTGCCCTTTACAGTCTTTTCTGTAGAAAGTAAAAAAAAAAATATTGGTTAAGAATATAAGTTCTTTATTTTGTTTTCTGATTCTCCTTTCTAACTGATTTTTTTTTTTTAGTCCTCACGAGTTTGGAAGCAGCTTGTTATTTCTTAACTTTATAATTTCATTTAGAGAAATCTTTTCATGGTTTTTATGTACATTTTAACTCAATGTGACCAGAGTTCTTTAGATACTCTTGTACTTTTTTTTTGACTGCCAGGGTTATCTTGTTTTTAGATGATATTTATTTACAACTAATCTTTAGTATGAAAAGTGTCAAAAGTTAAATGTCCAAGCTTGTTGTTTTTTTATAATTAATATTTTTTAAAACCATTATTAACTTACTGTTATTGATGTTTCAGTTAGATCCAAGAAGTTTAAATCTTTGTAGCATGTTAACCATCTTATTGAGGCATCAGTAATACCGTTATTAACTGTAAGAGGAAAAAATCAATTCTTACTTTAGTACATTATCACAAATTGTCAATAATGGAGTAAACTGGTTAGCTTTTCTCAAGATTACAACTGGTAAGTTAGCTTAAAAACACTAACATATCTGTCACCAGTAACCATCACTTTAAGTAGGACAGGATTTAGACAGCAGGTATATACATATTTAAAATTCAGATACAGTGATTAGAAAATGAAATTAAAGTTAATATAACAGATGACTCTTCATATGTAAACCTTGTTTGAAAAATAAAACATACATACATCTGTAGTATACACATACTATGCTTACCTATAAAGCATATATACAGCTTGTAGTATACACATACTACATTTATCTATAAAGCGTATATACAGCTTGTAGTATAAACATATGTACTTTACTCACCTGTAGTCCAAGTTTCATCTCTATATAAGATTAAAAAAAAAGAAAAATCCTATGTTATAATCTGGAACATCCCAAATCTAGTTGAGGTGTTACTTTCTCCAGCCAAGGAATTTATCTCCTGTTGCACAGGATAGCATTTTGTTGAATTTCTTCAGGTTAAAAGATCATATCCAGTTTTCTCAACAGCCATGTGTTATTTATAAATTCTGCTGCCCAACATGTAGGGGCTTGTACATTGAGTTGGTTGTTACAAGACTGGAAGATTGTTTAAAAGAACACTCTAGTTCTAGGTTGAAGAAAATTCAAGCATTGTTCGACATGAACTAGGTGAATGTAATGTGGCCCCAATCAATAAACCTGAAAATGAAACTATGGTATGGATGAAGGAAATGTTTTTAATGAAGTCTAGATTAAACAATCAGCAAATACCTGCTGAATTTTTAGTCACAATTTAGAAAATGGAATTTTATTTAAACATTACTGTGTAATTTTAATTTGAGAAATGTACTCTTTTGATAAATCTTGCATTAAGGCTCTAATTTTTGTCAATATAATGTACTAACAATCAGGTCGGATGTTTTTCTGGACAAGCACTAAAGGACATGTCATGCTTTTTATGCATTTATATTCTCTTTACTATAATAATCTCTTTCTTTAAATACTTTGAACATGAAGCAGAATGTTATCAAGTGAGTGATGAGTCTTGTCATTCTTATGTGCATGAATAAATGTAGAAAACTAATTTGACTAATGACTTTGAATAATACTTGAAAGATGGCAGCTTTATTTTGTTTACAAAATATGGAACACCAAGTAAGACTGGATCTCCTGCAAGGTATTCTTAACTGGCACTCCTAAAAACAAAAGTTGTCAACAGCAGTCTAACCACTTCAATGCTACTCCATCAGGATTAAAAAATGCACGCATCAGTTTCCTAAAGATCCTGATTTGGATGTTTAAAGCACAATCATACAGCAACATGATTTGTTACCTCATTATCATTACATTGTTTTGAGATGAATAATGTCAGTCTATACCATTCTTTGACTTCCAATTTAAAATTAAACTCTTCAGTTAGTTACTTTACTCATCAAAAGCTATGAAAAATCTTCAACTGGTTTTATGACTTTCACAATTGTGGGTGGATTGTAATCTAGAACACTTATGCTATTTTAAGGTACAGAGTTCGAAATGAATTACTCCTTTGATGTCCCACCAAATGCATAGCATCACTTTCTGCGGATGAAGTCCAGGTTTTTGGGTCGGAAGTGGTTTGGATCTAGGACTGAGCCATTGTTTTTGGCATTTAATATTCACATAGAAAATCCATTTTTCACCACTGGTGACAATTCTGTTCAAAAATGGTTCACACGCATTACGTGCCAGAAGAGACGAAGCAATGTTCACACTTGGAAATGATGATCATCTGAGAGTTCGTGAGGCACCCAAACACCTTC